ATGTTTTTAAAATAGTTGCACTTTTGACTAGAACCTCTTTCAACTTTCTCTTTCATAATTTGAAGGTTAGACATCCTCCTGACATATACCATTTGCCTAGCTGTTATTGAGTTCCACACCCAGCAAGATGGAATTATTGTATAATGCAAAGTTGGAGCGTGGCCTGGCATTTTAGAGGGTAGAGACCATTGTTATGCCTCGAACTGCATCCTGGAAAGTGCTGCCTGTCTATTAATATGTACAGGAGGCTAATGGTTGACTGCTTAGGTGTGCATTCGTTGCAAGAAGTGTACACTCTGCATCCACTAAAACTCGAGTCATCATTTCTCAGTGCCTTCATTCATGCATTCACCTCCTTTGGGTTTTGGTTTTTTTCCCCTCCATCCCTGCTTTCAAACACTCATGCTAAATCTTTAGGGATGATTTGGAAATAGTTCGCGTTCTCAAGTAGAAAATCACAGACAAAGTGCAGTACTCTGTTGTGATAACTTGCTCTCTGTCTGGTGTGGTCAAAGTGCCCTTGGAGCCCAGATGAAGGAGTCAGTACTTCCATATGGGCCCAAGAATGGGAGAGAGAAGAAAGAGTGGGGGCTTCAGGAATCTTTTAAAAGGCTATCCTTTGAGCTAAGCGTGAAACCCAAGACTGCTTTGCAGTTCCTGTGTAGAAGGAGTGGAGAAGGCAGCCCCCACAAAGGGAATCGTATGTGTAAAGTCACTGAGGGCTACATGAGTTTGGGCACAACTGGGCATAGGGCAGTACATGGAGAGATGAACCGGAAAGGCAGGGCGGGAGCTGTTGGAAGGGACTCGTGTCACGTGCTTGAGGGTGGTCTACTCCTTCTGTTTTATCAGATGGCTCCTGCAACTGGAGACAGATGTTCATTTGATTGCAGGCAGTGACTGAACCCAAGTTTGGCCAGTTTGGCAGTTCTTTTTTAGTTTGTATTGTGTTTCATAAATAATTGGCAGTTAAAATGACTCACCCAGAGGCACCCTGGGTGAAGAAAGGCTGGGAAACCTGCTGCCACGAGGTCACAGCTTTGAACGCTCGGCGAAATATGGTTTTATTCTGGGAGCATATGGCAGTGCCATGAGTCGGCGTCAACTTTGGGTTGGGTGTTTTATTGGGCTCTGTAAGTGCCACGTTGGAAGCCTTCTTCCAGACTCTCAGAATGTCAACCTAGCAGGGCATTTCAGTTCCCTTCTCCCGGTTCCTTTGTTCGATGGGCTGACACTTGAAGCCCAGTGAGACTGAAGAACATACTTGATTGCCTTTAATACTCATCAGACACTAGATAGCAAAAGAGGGCGCTCATCAGAATTCAGCCACACAGAGTGCGTAGGTAGGAAATGAGATGGTATGAGGTTATGAACCAGGTAAGCTGTCATCACAGGTTTAAACAGTTCCTACAAAAGAGAATGAGTTTTCATGGGCAATATCATTTAGTTCTTAGAATTTTGAGGGTTATTTAAAAATAGTCTTGCTGATCATAAAGCAACCTGTTCAAGACTAGAGCATTTAACAGTACAGGCCATGTCCTGTTTCACTCACTCAGTGATTATTTATTAAGCCCCTGCATTGTGCCAGGCTCAGTGCTAAATCAGATATCTAAATAAAACCAACACAGTCCTTATCTTCCGGGAACTTAACTTCCTGGAACGCTGCTGAAAGAGGCATTAATAAACATTTAAAAAAATAAATAAGTGGTGCACATGAATGGTATATAATGCCTGGAGTATATGTCCTGGGGAGAAACATGAAGGGAGATTCCCTTGAAGTGATCCCTGAACCATATCTACAGGGTAAATATGACTTCTCTTGGCAAGGAAGGGAAGGAAGTGTTTCCCCGTGCCGGGGTAAAATCACAGGCAAATCCCTCTGTGAGTGAAGAAGATAGCAAGGAAGGTACTCAGAGGTCATTGGGCTGGAGTACTTTGAACAGGGTTTGAGTACAGGGTGACGCCAGAGAGAAGGGCGGAACTCACAGTTCATTGTCGTGATTTGTAGGGTCTCAGATGTTTGGTAGGTCCAGGAGGATGGCATTATCCGATCAATGTGTTGTTGGGAAAAACCTAACTGTTGTGGGGGCAATAGTTGGTGACAACCTGAGATAGACCTATTAAAAGACCAGGCAAGAGGTGATCTGGAGACTTGCATGGCGGAGGGAGTGGAGCGTGTACGAAGACGATGGCTTCAAGGTGGTGAGGAGGTAGGATCATCGGCTGTGGTGATGGAGTTCATTTGTGGAAGAGAGGCTGTATTGATGACCCTTGGGTTTCTCGCTCTTACAGTCTATGGGCAGTGCTGTTATTCAACACAATATAGAACACTTCTTCAACTATGGAGAATAAATATGCAAAGGAGAAGGTTAAGGATTAACTTTTCCCCTGACTTTTATAATCTCTTGATTATGATCTGCATTTGCCCAACAAGATCATGAGAACTCTGAAAGTCACACAGTGCATACCAGGTAAAATAAGGGTTCAAACTCACTTCCTATGTTCAGTCATACAGCCCGACCTTTCTACTTGACCTTCTTGAGGATAGAACCCTGGGCGCGACACCAACATTTTGGAAGGCGGACTGAGAAGGACAATCTAGAGACGGGGAGGCGGTGATGTGAGAGAACCAGTAGGAGATTCCAGAGACACAGAAGACACTTGAAAGGGAATGGGAGTGTGGTCGCTGGGAAGCCACTGGTGCACTGTGGGAGAAGAGTGGCAGGCCATGGGGAAGGTTGGATGAGAAGGATGAAGGCATGGAGGAGAGGCTGGAGTCTGAAGTTGTGTTCAGGCAGCTGGTGAAGGAGAAGAGGGGGCAGGAACCTTGTGAGTTTGAAAGTGCTCTGTGAGATGTCCGAGCTGAATATGGATCTGCCTGGGGAGACCATCAACAGTACACGGTGCTGAAAGATCATGAGGGAGAAGAAAGCCAATTTCGGATGCAAGCTGACTTGGAAATGTTTGTAAAAGGATAATAAATCTGTCTGTTCACATGGTGATCTCTTAATTAGATGAAGTCTCAGAGCTTTATCAAAATCTTTCAAGATATACAGACTCTTGATTACTTTTCAAGCAAGAATCTTCTAGCATATCAGTAGGAGGTCATATGATATTTATGGTTATAGCTAGAAAAATGACATCACTGATTAGTGTATCTCTAGACATTTTTAAATAGGTTACTATGTAGTTATCGTCATCCACGTGATGCACTTTGGGTTATGTTTTCTGGCATCTGTTTTGATCTCTAATGGTAATTCTGTTTTCAGGTCATCAAAGGGCTCTGGGCCTCTCTAAAAGCCCATTCTTTATCAGCACATTTTGACTTTTGATAGATTTATGTGCTTCTCCAAGCTTTTAAAATTCATTTTCAACAGGAGCAGTAACTTGCCTTTGGAATTTGGATTGTCTCTAAACCTCACTTCCAGAAACACCATTCATACATGGTATTATAAAATGATAAAAAGTGGTATTATAAAATCTGCTTCCAAAATTCTGGGCTTTTGAAAATCACATAGACAAAGTGTTTGCTACCAATGGCAGCACACATATTTAATAGGAAATACTTTAAAAAAAAAAAAAAAGGAAATACTGTTTCTGTAGGAGCCCTGGCGGCGGCGTGGTGGGTTAGGAGTTGTGCTGCTACCTGTAGAGTCAGTTGTTTGATATCATCCAGCCTGGTTCCTCTCTGTCTCCGAGGGTCGCTCTCAGTCAGAATTGCCTGGAGGGCAGTGAGTGTTTTGACTTGGGAATCGGTTCTCTTGTTGCATGTTGAGGTACATTTGTTGTTGTGTTGCTTCGTACCCTCAATACCATTCTGACTCAGGACAACCTCACGACAACTCCTCGTGGGGATATCCCATTGTGCTTTCAAGGCTGTGAACTTTCTGAAGCAGATTGCCAGCCCTGTCTCCTGGGGCAGCCAATTATGTTTGAACTATCACTCTCTCTTTTTGGTTCGGAGTCAAGCACTCAACCAGTTGTGACACCCAGGGGACCTGCTTGCATCACCTCTCCATTTTTGCCTCTTTTATGACCCAAGTATTTCGTGGGAGGTGAGATTCACGGTACCTTTTCCCACAAATCTCCACTAATTTTTGTAGTTGCCAAGGGATGACTACTTTCTGGTATTACATCCTATTCATGCCAAAATGTTTCAGGAAGCAATCAAGTCTATAATTATTAAACCCAAACTCACTGCCATCAAGTCCAATCTAACTCATAGCCACCCTGGCGGCATAGTGGGGTACAGACCCAGCAACTTATCACAAGGTCAGCTATTCAAAACCCGACCAGCCTCTCCACTAGAGGAAGATGAAACTTTCTGGAGAAAGATGAGGCTTTCGCTCCTGTAAAGGTGACAGCTAAGGAAGCCCAAGGCGGTATTTCTACTCTGCTCTAGAGGGTCGCTGTGTGCCTGTAACATTAGGAAGCAAGCTCACTGTCATTGAGTCAATGTCCTCTCTTAGTGACCCCAGAGAACAGGTAAACTGCACTCTACAGGAGTGGAGAGCTTCCTCTTCCTGTGGAGAAGTTGGCGGTTTCAAAGTGCTGATATTGAGGTCAGCACCCAACACATACCCCATGCTCCAGGGGACCTCACTTATAGTCTAGCACACCTGCAGCAGGGAACTCCTGTGGGCCAGCTCCCCGGATGGGGAGTGAATATAGCCACTACCCCACGGACCTTTTCTGCCAGTGTCCTTGTGTACATGTATCACTCACGATATTCTTGATATTGTGTGTACTATTTTGGCAAATCCCACATCTTTGAAATGCATATTTATAATACTCACTGGGCCAAGCTATTGACAAAGTATATCAACTTAAAAGATTGTCTCCCTGAGAAATATGTAAGAGTGTGACAGGTTCTAACTTTACAGAGTATATTTGCTCTGTACATTCATTCGTCCCCTTCCCCCATCCCCTAGTCAGTGGCATTTCATAGAGATCAGTGGCTGGTGTGATTGTCTTCATGTGTTCTATTTCATTTCTTACAGTGATTGCCAGTTTTCGGGGCACCGTCCCATATGGCCTGTCTTTGGAAATTGGAGACACCGTTCAGATCCTGGAGAAATGCGATGGTAAGTAGGCTAGTGGTCATTGTGTGAGCTTTTCTGCACAACCTGCCCGACTCTGAGTCCTTCAGAATGGCTACAGGCTCTGCCCACACCTCTATTCATTCACCTGTTGTCGCAGAGAACCATGCTGGCAAAGTGGGTCCTTGCCTGTTTGACTTCGGGGGAAAGCGTCATTCACGGAGTGCTTTTCTCTTAGCTTGTTTCTTCATATGCCGTGGATGCCAGTCGAGAAGGCAACCGAGGTCTGCTGTATACCCGAGGGTTGCCGCATCTGTGGGAGTTTCAGACTCAGTGCTCAACTTGAATGTTCCTCCCCCCGCCCTCCCAGAATTATAAGGGAGTATAGGAGCTAACTCCTGAACAGCTTTTGGTTTTACAGAGGAAGAAACAGAAGTCCAGAGGAGAAATGGCTGACCAGAAGTTGGGTAGTTAATACCATGAGAGATATTAGCTCCTATCC